CCCCTTCACTTACTTCTCCCCCCTCCTCACCTCTCCCTTGCCCTCCCATGTAGCGTGGCCGAGCTGCTTGCTGGTCCGCGGTGCCGGCCGGACTGATAGGAAGGTGCACACTGAGTGTGCACTTCCTGTCAGTCCGGCCAGTTACAGGAAACAGAAACTCCGCGCGGAACTGGAGTTTCTGTTTCCTGTAACCGGCCGGACTGACAGGAAGTGCACACTCAGCGTGCGCCTTCCTATCAGTCCGGCCGGGCACCGCGGACCAGCAAGCAGCTCGGCCACGCTACAGGGGAGGGGAGGAGAGGAGCAGCCGCAGCCGCAGCCGCCTGAGGCTCTTAACAGAGTGCTCAGGCGGCTGCAGCATTTAAAGGGCCGGCCCTGCAGCGGCCGGTCCCAACAGATTTTAGGGCGGCCTGGGGGGCAATTGCCTCCCTGCCCCCCGGCCCAGCCCGCCCCTGTCTACTATCATCTACTATCTACATACAATATACTGCTATTAAAATACAAGCAAAAGCTTTTATAAATAAATAAATGACATGATATCTGGCTTCTCATATACAGAGCTCTAAACTCAGTACTGAGCTTCCCTCAGTTATAGTATAGTTTTTAATGTAAGGAGTAAAGAGAATGAATGAGGCCAACATGTTTCTTAATGACAAAATGGAAGGGTCATCAACAATTTAAGTAACTGATGCCTCATAGGTACTTTGGTGCTAGCCTGTGTACATATGTGTGAAACGACACATAGGCTGTTTGCTCATCACAGCTGAATGTAAACATTTTCTGACATCTTTGTTAAATATGTCATCTAATTTTGCTTTTTAAAAGTATATTACATGTAATGAAATTTTTTGTTTTGTTTTGTGAATGATATATAGTGATATTTTTTAGGAAATTTCACTTTTTTATCTGACGGAGCAGGAATGTTCAAAGAAATTCTACTGTTATTTGAACAACATCTGCTCAACCTAACTTGCTGTTGCTGCAGATTCAGAGAGTCAGTCAGGTAAAAGTAGAATCTGACCCACCATGGCTTTTCAGCAATATAAAAAGTGATATTTTTTTTTCTCAATATATATATAAAATTTTACTTTAGTTAAATGTAATACGTTTAAAAAAAAATACAAATGAAGATTTGATCACAGTTGTACTTTAAATCATTTCCTTAATATAATATTACTATCTGCTTGTATTAATATGTTTACTCATTGCTTATTGTCATTATTACTACTAAGAGCAATTATCACAGGATGACATGATGGAGTAAGTTTCCAGAGTCAGGCTCTGTGGCTCAACAATATGTGAGCTGATGTGTTTTAATGCAGTTACTTATATTTTTCAGTACAACAAGGGAATAGCTGTGAGTAAAAAAGGCACTAACAAATAATGGTTTTGACTTATATTAGGGGGAAAAAAGACAAAAGCTGCTCCCACCTTAAGTAGGTGTTTCCCAAAACTCCCAAACCTCAACACTTAATAACTTCAGTGAAAATAAAAACCATGTAGTGATAAGTGAAAAAAAAATACAAATATATCCACAGTAGTGTTTTGTGATATTTATGTTTTTCAGTGTTTAACAGAATCGGACTGTCAAACAAAATAACATACAACTGAAACCAGTTCAAAACACAACGAATAAATAAATCTCCCACCTAAGTGTATCCCCCAAAGTACACACCACTGCAAACAACCCATATAAAATGTGGAGTATTCTAATTAGATATCCGGGGGGAAAAAAAAAAACAATCTTAATATATCATTCTCTTATATAATTAAGTAACATTTTAAAAAAAATGTATAATTACCATGTGGCTTTAAGTAGTTATAAGTGCATGCAATTTCAAACACTATTCTGGCTTAATGTAAGAAAAAATAAAAAAGGAATTTGTTATATTGTGTATTAAATCACTATTTAGTCAACTGTTCCTTGCAGCAACATGCAAAAAAAAAAAAGGAACAGACAGCATTGTATAATACTGCTTATTTAACCTAACAATAGTATACAAGAGTTAAAGGCTTACATAAAATTAATGTCGGTTTAAAACCTCCAATTGTCCCACAGAATTTTATGTAAGCCTTTATAATACTGTGTGACAAATTCCTTTTTTTGCTTTTACACCAAGCTACTGAAGTAGTATTTATGTTTATTCTCGGATATTTAATTATAACACCCCACCTTATAGAATTGGACTTTTTTCATTTCCTTTTTTTTTTAAAACACATTTTCATGGTAATTGTTTTCATGTTTTCTCATTTTTTGTTAAAGGACCACTATAGTGCCAGGAAAACGCGCGCGCATTCAGCCACTGTGAGAAGCACGCAAGCGCCTCTAGCGGCTGTCAATGAGACAGCCACTAGAGGCTGGATTAACCCATTTATAAACATAGCAGTTTCTCTGAAACTGCTATGTTCATAGAAAAAAGGGTTAATCCTAGCTGGACCAGGCACCCAGACCACTTCATTAAGCTGACGTGGTCTGGGTGCCTAGAGTGGTCCTTTAATACTGTTAACAGAAATTAGGTGATCTCTCCGAGGAGATATAATGAAGTTTACCTGCCGAAACATTATTTTTGTGATCTTCATGGTGAATTACATAGCATATTTTTGGGCAACCATTTTGCCATCAATATCTGTCTTTTTGTGTGCAGCAGTGGAATTTAGGAAACATTATTGCAAGATAAGAAGTAACCATTTTATTTTGAATACCCTTAGAAATCAAAACCAATATATGAATAATACATTTAAACAATATGTGTTTTCTTTGTTTATTAATACTTAACTTTTTATTACATTGGAATATTACACCTTCAATATTCTTATAACTTTCAGTCACATCTACTTAGAGAGCACTTCCTACCAACTCCCAAGTCCTTTTAATATGATGGCGTAATTTACAGTAATCTTCTTGTATATCAATTCATGCCCAAACTGTACCTTGTTAATTAATTTTGTTTTTGAGTGAAGCCAGTTGGGATTTAAGGCTTGTTCCCTGTGATCCTCAAACTAGCTGATGCAATCTTAAGTACTATGGGGGTTATGTATGAGACTTATTGAGTTAGATACTTAAATGGTAACTGAATAGCAGTTCTGAAATTGGCATCTATGGGACAGTTATTTAATTATCAAATATAAGCGTATATCTTTTTCATAGGATCTAGCCAATAGTGTGAAATAACAGTTTTAAAAGTGGACCATTAACTATGGAAAACAGTGGAATTGTCCTGTTTAATGTGCCAGTATTAGAATTTGACCCATAATTGCTCTTCATACATATTACATCTTTATACGTTTTACCTCTTTATATTCTATAACATCTATGTAGCCTGATTTTTTAGAATTAGTTTCACACATTATGTGCTATTATAGTTTAGGTTAACTATTAATTTAGAATTTAATCATAAGAAAATAAGTATTGATGTTGTTCTCACTTTGATATCAATTGGGAGGGGAGAAAAGGAGTGGGAGGTGAATGAATGCACCTGCTGCTGATGATTTGCAAAGAGTCATATCAGAAAATAACAACTTTGGTCTATTTCTAAACTGAAAGATAATCAAATGAACAGCTGCTTTCACATTGTGCTTCACTGGAGTGATGTGACCTGTAAGCGGTTTATTTGAAATCAGGTGTTCAATAAACAAAACTTACAAACATCTTAATAAACATTGTATATTACAGAAAAAAAAAAAGTGTTAAATCATAACATTAGTTAATCAAACGTCACAGGACGAAATCAATATGGAAAGTATAGTGAAAATGTGTATTATATTTACTGACCTATATATTACATATAAAGCATCTATTATTAAAAAAAAGTTGGCATTAAAAGGCTTCTAATTGGACATCTGGCATTAAGAACCCTTAATATATGGTAGACGTAATTAAGATACATATTTTGTCCATGGCAATAAATACAGTTGAACAATTTCTGGACTGTGGACTCTATCAGAAATTACAGAAGAACTGCCCCCCTTCTTTGCAGTGACCAGCCTCTCCTCTAGCATGCCTTGACCTGGCCAAAGGAAGTACAGTAAAGAATGTCACGAAATCTTAAATCACCACTTCAGCTGATTTGGACACATTTTTTGCTAAAGACAACATATGCATGCCTCTGGCGCGTCCGTGTTCTACCAGACTGTGCAGGCAGGGTAAACATGTTAACCCAGTTTGAACCCAGACTTTCAAAGCCCCTTTTCCCTTGGCATCTGTGATTGTACTAGCAATAAAACACAAGTCTGTACAAATCAAAAACTAAATAAAGCATGATTTTTTTTAAATGGCAAAAAAACAAGACACAAAATATATATAAATATTGTATCATTTATTGAATATTTACTATACTTACTACTGCTGTATGTATGAGAGTAAATAACTATGTTTTAACAGGGTAGGTTGAGACACTGTTTGGTATCAGAGTTTCAAAATGGAACTGTATGTATCATTCACTGATACAAACTAATAATATATAAACATTCACTATTTACACTGTCATATAAAATTAGAACTTGACCTTTTAATTAAGCAGTTGTGTGTACACAAACATATGTCACTTAATGCCATACCTCTTAACCCCTTAAGGACACATGACATGTGTGACATGTCATGGTTCCCTTTTATTCCAGAGGTTTGGTCCTTAAGGGGTTAATCACTATACCAGGTTGTTGTCTATTAAAGGGACTCTCCAGTGCCAGGAAAACACGTTTTTCTGGCACTGCAGGTTCCAGCAGTGCCCCCCTCCCTCTCGAGTCCCGCCCCCCATCCCATGTTGCTGAAGGGGTTAAAACCCCTTCAGCGACTTACCTGAATCCAGCGCTGATGTCCCTCAGCACTGGGTCAGGCTCCGCCCACACTCCTCCCCCGCTGAAGTCTGCTGGCAGGGGAGACCTAATATGCATGCACGCATTAGACCTCCCCATAGGAAAGTATTATTCAATGCTTTCCTATGGGGATTCCGGCAACGCTGGAGGTCCTCATGTATAGCGTGAGGACGTCCAGGGTCATTTAAAACAGTTTTTGTGTTCTAAGAAGCTGGAAGTTCCTCTAGTGGCTGCCTGATAGACAGCCACTGGAGGAGGACTTAACCCTGCAAGGTTATTATTGCAGTTTATAAAAACTGCAATAATTACACTTGCAGGGTTAAGGGTTATGGGAGTTGGCACCCAGACCATTCAAATGGGCGGAAGTGGTCTGGGTGCCTAGAGTGTCCCTTTAACACAAATCAAGAAAAGCCTGAAGTCTATGTTCCAGACCACTACCTAATAAATATAAAAGAAATAAGGCATTATTGTAGTTCTCAATTCATTTGATAAATTTAGTCGTCTGATTTTGCTTTTGGAAACACTAAAGGGAATATAGTTAAATATGTATTGAGGAAGTTGATTGTAATAAAATTACCTGTATTAACCTGGAACCTATATGAAACTGCTAAACTACACAAATAAACTTTGATTTTGAATATAAATATAATATTATGATGTTGTAAAAGCATTGACTTTTTTTTCTGTCTTGTCACACCACATGTCCAGGTATGGGTGTCCTTAGAGACAAACACTAAGATAAATATATGCTTAAAATCTCTAATAAAATATTTCTAAAGTAAATTATGGCTTAGTTCAGGGGTTCCCAACCCAGTCCTCAAGTACCCTTTACCAGTCCAGGATTTAGGGATTACCCTATTGTGTTGAAAGTGTTTTTTCTTTTTTTTTTCTAAAAAACACCTTAGACACAATTGGGTAATCCTTAAATCCTGGACTGTTAAGGGATACTTGAGGACTGGGTTGGGAACCCCTGTCTTAATTGGTTGGTTCTAAACTTATATGAACATACATATGCCGATGTAAAGCATTACCCCTATTACACTTTGTAAAACCTTTTTTTATAACTATTTATAAAATGCATTTATTAATTCAGGAACTAATCCATTCTGGTATGCATGTAAGTTCTAAAGTAAATTAATAATGGAGAACTAGGTTTCTTTGACGATTTAAATATTTGCCTCTGGTATCCTTTATTCCTGTAGCCCAATTTGCCATAATATGAATACACATATACTTAAAAGGTACACCTTTCTTGGGGTGTTGTGGGGTCCGTACGATCTATGCACTTTCTTAACATGCTTGCTCATTTTACAGAAAATTACACACTTCGTCTACTTTTCTCTCTGTACTTTTAATACTTGTAATTATTTACTTTACTTAGGCTATGTATATTTTTCTCATCTTTATTTTTCGGGTCTGACACTTATATGTCTGACACTTTTAAACAATAGCCCCTCCTCCTTTGATGCACAACTGGTGATAACATTGATGTTAGACAGTTGCTTGGACTGTTTTGGGTTATTTATTTTATCATAGATTAAACCACTGGGGGGGAATATATATATATACATATATATATATATATACATATATATATATATATATATTTGTTTCTAAGTTTTACATTTATTAATTTCTTCACATGTTCAAATAATAACTCTAACTCAAAACAGATTAATTAATTAGTCTTGATTATTTCATATTACTTATGAACATAGGCGTTGCTGGGGGGGAGGGGAGAGGGGCTTTTGTGGGTTGAAACCCTGAATGTAGGGAACTTTAACCCAAAATCTCAGTTGATGGAGGTGGCAGGAGGATATTATAATTTATTTCTTTTTTGCACCATTCAGCAACTTTTCAAAGAAGAACCAGAAATATCAGTAGTATAGACCACTACGAGCCTACTAAGGAAGAGGGGGAGGTTAGGTGGCCTGGGGGATCAAACTGAATACCTGGCTGTTCTCTACATTCATTGAGCTCCCAAGAAGTTTTAGAAGCACACTATCCATGGGTAGAAAGGAGGGGACATAACATTAAAAACGTGACATTTTAATACAGGGGTCACTGTGTTTTCTTTTGGGATCAAACTCCAACTGTATCTGGAACCTTGCAATGTTCCTGCTTAAGACCTATACTTTCGCCATCTCCAGAATGTTAGTAGAAAAGATTATATAATGACAAAACACAAACTAAGATGCTAAATATTGAGATTTATAGCAAATGACCCATAGGGTATCATATGTCTCCAAAAAATTACTGATTATATTAGACTATTGTTATCTTTAGGAGATGTCTAGAAGAAGGGTAGTTGGTTGGGGGGAGGATATTATTTATTTATTATTGGCATTTATATAGTTCCAACAGATTCCATAGCGCTTTACAATATTATAAGAGTGGGAGATTTAACAATAAATTAGACAATTGCAAAAGAAACTTACAGGAACAATAGGTTTAAGCGGACCCTGCTGAAACGAGCTTATACTCTATAGGAGGTGGGGTATCAGACACAATAGTACAGGATAAATAAACTGGTGTTTAAATTAGTTATTTCAAATCAGTGGCGGTCAGATAATTTTTGCCCATGGCCACATATTTTATGCCTCAAATGCAACACATTTATGCTTTTTTTACACAGTTTACAGACATTGTGGTTGAGCTGTGCTGGCTTAGAACACTGTTAATGCAAAAGATAAATAAAATAAAATGATGGCTAAATTAATCATTTGAAATTTTGTTGCTATATCAGATTCTGATGAAGAAAATAAAAACTTTATTGCACAGAAAAACAGACATAGAAACATAGAAACATAGAATGTGACGGCAGATAAGAACCATTCGGCCCATCTAGTCTGCCCAATTTTCTAAAAACTTTTATTAGTCCCTGGCCTTATCTTATAGTTAGGATAGCTTTATGCCTATCCCACGCATGCTTAAACTCCTTCACTGTGTTAACCGCTACCACTTCAGCTGGAAGGCTATTCCATGCATCCACTACCCTCTCAGTAAAGTAATACTTCCTGATATTAGTTTTAAACCTTTGTCCCTCTAATTTAAGACTATGTCCTCTTGTTGTGGTAGTTTTTCTTCTTTTAAATATAGTCTCCTAAGGAGACACTGAACATTTTATAACAGTTCTAATAGTATATATTTGTCTGTATGTATACATTTCTGATTATTTTATATTACCGAAGTGAATTGTTCCTTGTCCAATTATTTTATTTTTATTACTCAAGACCAAAAGTGTGAGTAAAACGCTCATCCCTGCCACATGTACGGTGTTAAAAAGAGATATAATCAATTAAAAGAGTTACATTAAAGAAAGATGTAAACACTATGAATTATAGATTTAGAAGAGTTTCAAAATCTCTAAATGTTAGTTTCCTATGGAAAAATTGAATTCTGTGGTACTTTAGTACAGTGTCAGTTTAAGCATAATACAACTATAATACCTGGCAAACCACCATTTTGCATCCATTATATGATGGGGTTTTTTTTCCTTTGATATATTTAATGCATACGTTTATTTATCATAAATGTACACCCATATATATTTTGCGTGTGTTCGTTTTAATTAAACATTAAATATAAGTGAGTAAATATTTTTATACAAAAGCTGCATTTGACATTATCAGCCTCTAAAATTTGTTATTACATTTCTCTTTTATAGTTTATATTTTTTATACATTTACATTGCTCAATGTGATAGCCCTGGAAATAGATATGATAGATACAGCTGAGTGTCCTGCCTACTGGAGCATGTCTAATTTGACAAAAATAGCCCTAAAAAGTCATATTGTTACTTTCCATTCTGTGTAAACATGATTTGCATTATTTACATACATTTCTCAGAAAAAAAAAAACCCCAGCAATGTATTGTGTGCTTTATTTGATATCTTTTCTATCTAGAGAACAATTTTAAACATCTGTAGGGTCCAGTCTTCACATATCCAAAACAAATGCTAAAACAACATACAGTATTTTAACTGTAAAATATTACATGAAATGTGTTAAATCTAATAGTTGATATAATTTATAAAATGTGTAAAAAAGCATTGTACTGTAAATTCACACTGAATCAACTAGACAAGTAGATGGGTACCATAAACATACAATATACAATTATACAATTATACAATTATTAGTAAAACCACCCATGCATATCACCCTTTTATTTAACCCTAACGATAATATCAAATGTCCCATATTAATAATTCCTGTTAAATCCAAGTAACTTCTTAACCCCTAAAGACCAAGGCTATTTTGAGATGCAAGCCCGAATTTGTGACCATGAACTTTTTGGTGTGTGTGTGTGTGGTTTTTTTTATTTTTATATTGAGGCTCATAGAAAGGTCAAAAGCCATCAATTCTTTTTGGAGTGTGTGTAGCCTGACATTGTTTACTCTCAGGGGTTTTCTGCATGTTTTCTCCAAAAATGTAATGAGTGTCCAAAATGGCAAGCAATGGCTAACCACTGGCTCTCCAGTCTTTGTCATGTACACATAAGACCACAACAGGATAGTGATGTTAGCCATTACTGAGCTTTGTTCATACTAAGTAGTAACTGACCACTGTCAGCCAATCCTAGTCTTTACATTGTTTTTAATGAGAAAAAGTGTGCAAAACAAATTAACTGCATATTTCTACAAAATTGTAATTTTGTATGTAATAATTCATCTCAGAGAATTACGGGAAATTCATGCAATGATGCTATATATACTATATGACTATAAAACCTCTTGGCTATTAACACATACGTTGAAGGGCTTACTTGCCATCAGGATTGCATGGAGTTAGGCTCTTGAGCCGCCACCTCCCCCCCATCAGCGCCGGGCCGCTTCTCCAGACGCCTGAAGGAGCTCACAGGGGGCCAAGGAGGAGGCCATCTGGCGACCTCAGAGCGCCCCCTAAGTTGTCCTTCAGTATGGCAGAGCAGGCACCTGCTTACCTTGATGACAGGTGCCTGCTTTGCCATCAAATGCTGGTAACTGGAGGAACCAAGAGAAGGCAGGCGGTGAGGGAGGCTGTTCTTGCAGCCTCTCACTCCTCCCTTGCGTGCCCTCTGTGATGCCTCGAGCCGGAATATGACATCATTCCGGCCCCGGCATACTAAACAGTGGGCGGGAGGAGTAAGGAGCTGCCCCACACTGGAACCTGGGGAGGTAGGGAGGCTGAATTTGTCTAAAAAAATAAAATTGTTTGAGTCTGTGTGTCAGTGAGTGTTTGACTGTCAGTGAGTGTCTGCCTGTGTGTGTGTCAGTGAGTGAGTGTATGTATGTCAGTGAGTGTCTGTCAGTGAGTCAGTGTGTCTGTCAGTGAGTGTCTGTGTGTGTGTGTGTGTGTGTGTGTGTGTGTGTCTGTATGTCTGTCAGTGAGTGAGTGTATGTCTGTCAATGTCGGTGGCGGATCAAGAGCCTGATCTCGGGAGGGGCACCTGTAGATTATTTAAATAAATAATCTAGGGTACAATAACCACTACAGCTCAGTGTAGTAGTTATGGTACCAGTAGTACCAGGATCCCATCCCAGAGTAAGTAGTCAAACCGTTTAAGAACAGTTTGACAACACATCTGCGGTCTGCTGGGATATAGGGCATAGGAGCAGTGGTATGTGTGAGGGGTGAAGTGTGTGTGTGTGAAAGGTGCAGTGTATGTGTGTGTGTGAGCAGTGAAGTATGTGTGTGAGTGCATGAGGGTGGCAGTGTATGTCAGGGTTGCAGTGTGTGTGTTAGAGGGCAGTGTGTGTGTAAGCGGTGCAGTGTATGTGTGTTTGGGGCAGTGTGTGTATGGGGGGCACTGAATATGTGTGTGGGGCAGTGTGTGTATGGGGGGCACTGTATGTGTGTTTGGGGCAGTGTGTGTATGAGGGGTCACTGCGTGTGGGGAGCAATGTGTTTATGGGGGCACACACAGTGCCCCCTCATACACACACTGCCCCAAACACACATACAGTATGTATGGGGAGCACTGTATGTGTGTGTATGGGGGCACTGTATGTGTGTGTGGGGTACTGTATGTATGTGTGGGGCAGTGTGTGTATGGGGGGTCGTGTGTATGGGGGGCATGTGTGTGTGGGACAATGTGTGTATGGGTGTGCTGTGTATGTGTGTGAGGGCAATTTGTGTGTAGGGGTGGCAGTGTTTGTGGGGCAGTGTATGTATGGGTGTGCAGTGTGTGTGTATGGGTGGCAGTGTTTGTGGGGCAGTGTATGTATAGGTGTGCAGTGTGTGTGTATGGGTGGCAGTGTTTGTGGGGCAGTGTGTGTGTGGGGAGGGCAGTGTGTGTATGGGGGCAGTGTTCGTCGGGCAGTGTATGCATGGGGGGGCAGTGTGTGTGTGGGGCAATGTGTGTGTGGGGTAGTGTGTGCATGGGGGAGAAGGAGGGTACGGGGGCTTTTTGAAAAATGATATTTTAATTTAAGGGTGGACATTTCTTAATACCTGGTGGTCCGGTGGGGATTCCCTGGTGGTCCCAGTGGTTAGAGTGAACTCTCGCGAGATTTGGAGCGTTGCCGTGGTAACCACAGCAACGCTCCGTGCTCACGAGAGTAGGACCGGAGGACCTGCAGGCTGAGCTCCCGGGTCCTCCCCTACCGGCTGCCAGCACGATGCCTGCGGACCGGGGAGGGAGATCTCTGATCTCCCCTCCGGACCTGGTCCGTGAAGGCACATTGCAGGGCTGGCGTTTAGACAGTGCCAGCCTTGCATTAGCCAGCAAGGGAGAATCTCGGGGGGGGGCAATTGCCCCGTTGTCCCACCGGATCTGCCACTTGTCAATGTGTGTGTGTGTCTGTCTGTCTGTCTGTCAGTGAGTGTATGTCTGTCAGTGAGTGTGTGTGTGTGTGTCATTGAGTGGGTGTATGTCTGTTAGTGAGTGTGTGTGTGTGTGTGTGTGTGCGTGCATGTATGTCTGTCAGTGTGTGTGTGTGTGTGTGTGTGTGAGTGTATGTGTGTCAGTAAGTGTCTGTGTGTGTGTTTGTGTGTGTGTCTGTCAGTAAATGTCTGTGGGCATCAGTGAGTGAGTGTGTGTCTGTCAGTCAGTGAGTGTGTGTGTGTGTCTGTTTGTCTGTCTGTCAGTGAGTGTCTGAGTGTGTGTGTGTGTCTGTCAGTGAGTGAGTGTATGTCTGTCAGTGAGTGTCTGTGTGAGTCTGTGTGTGTCAGTCTGTGTCTGTGAGTGTTTGAGTGTGTGTGTGTGCGTGTGTCTGTCAGTGAGTGAGTGTATATCTGTCAGTGAGTGTCTGTGTGAGTGTATGTCTGTGTGTGTGCATGTGTGTCAGTGAATGAGTGTATGTCTGTCAGTTAGTGTGTGTATGTCTGTCAGTGAGTGTCTGTGTGAGTGCATGTCTGTTTGTGTGTGTGTGTCAGTGACAGGGACGTATTAGCCGCAAGGCAAACAAGGCATTTGCATTGGGAGGCACTTTCCAGGGGAAAAAGCCACCCCCAAATGCCCAGGGCAAATGTCTTGTTAGCCTGGCAGCTAACTAAAGATCCGGCGCTGGCGAGGGAGCACTGATTAGTGAGCCTGCCCAGCTCCCTCGCGCGCCGCAGAGTGATGCCGGGAGCCGGAATATGACGTCACTAAGCTCACTAATCCGCCCAGCAGCCCCACTGGACCCCAGGGAAAGGGAGAACCCCCCAGCATTCCCAAAGGTAAGGAGGCTGGGGGATTGAATTTTAAAAAAAAAAGTGAGTGTGTTAATGAGAGTGAGTATGTGTGTGTTAGTGTGTGTGTGTGTGTGTGTGTGTGTTAGTGAGTGAGTGTATGTCTGTCAGTTAGTGTGTGTATGTCTGTCAGTGAGTGTCTGTGTGAGTGCATGTCTGTCTGTGTGTGTGTGTGTCAGTGACAGGGACGTATTAGCCGTGTTTCTGTTAGTGTGTGTGTGTTAGTGGGTGTGTCTGTTAGTGAGCGTGTGTGTGTCTGTTATTGAGTGTGTGTCTGTTAGTGGGAGTGTGTGTCTGTTAGTGAGTGAGTGTGTGTGTGTGTGTGTCACTTAGTGAGTGTGTGTGTCTGTTGGTGTGAGTGTGTGTGTCTCTTAGTGAGTGTGTGTGTGTCTGTTCATGATTGAGTGTGTCTGTTAGTGTGTGTGTGTGTATGTGTGTCTATTAGTGTGTGTGTGTCTGTTAGTGAGTGAGTGTGTCTGTTAGTGAGTGAGTGTGTCTGTTAGTGAGTGTGTGTCTGTGTAGTGGCGTACACACAATCCATGGGGCCCCGGTGCGAAACTGATCCGTGGGCACCCACGTCCACTTCTCCCCCATCTACCCTGACACTTTCCCCCCTGACCGTGGGCCCCCCCGGCACTTACATACAGACACAAACACACACCCCTGACAGACACATACATACATACATACATACAGACACATACATACAGAGACACACATACATACAGACACACACACACATACACACATACAGACACACACAGAGACACACACACATGCAGATACACAGACACACACATACATACAGATACACACACATACACACATGCAGACACACACACATACATACAGACACACATACACAAAATATTTCCTACCTTTTGTGAATTTCACTGGGGTCCAGTGGTGGCTCAGCCTGATGGGAGTCAGAGTTCCCACTCTGACTCCCTCCTCCTTCCTGCTTCCTTCCTCCTCCTTCCTCATCACAGGGGACCAGGTTGTGCTGTTTAAGCACCCAGCGCTGACCGGGCCCCCTGACAATCCATACACATCGGGTGGCCCTGACAGCATGGGTCACCCGATGGATCTCTTAACATGCGGCCCCGGCGGTTTACCGCGTGGGCCAGGGCCGCAAAACGTGGCAGCTGGTGCCCGGTCGCAAGGGTCTGCAGGGCGGCCGGGCCCCTTGGAGTGACGGGCCCGGTCACAGCTGCGACCCCCGCGACATGTACGCCACTGTGTGTGTGTGTGTGTCTGTTTGTGTCTGTTAGTGACTGTGTGTATTTCAGGGAGTGTGTCTGTTAGGGAGTGTGTCTGTTAGGGAGTGTGTTACTATGTGTGTGCCTGTTAGTGAGAGTGTATGCGTGTCTTTTAGTGAATGTGTGTGTCTGCTAGTGACTGTATGTGTCTGTTAGTGAGTGTGTATGTCTGTTAGCTAGTGTATGCGTATCTGTCCGTGAATGTGTGTGTGTGTATTTAGAAGGCGGGGCAGGGGGGGAAGGGTGGCACCGGGTGGCGCGGGGGGGGGGGGCGCCTGAGTTTTGTCATGCCTAGGGCAGCACAAAACCAGGATACACCACTGGTCAGTGAGTTAATGTATGCCTGTCAGTGAGTCAGGCAGGGCAGCAGAAATCCTTGCACCAGCCCTGCCTGCTATAGATTAGTGAGGAAAATGTAATATTTTTTCAAAAGGGCTAGCTGGGCATCAGTGGAATTGTAATTCAGAAACACATGAAATGACAAGTATAGTAGTTTTATGAAAAACAAACTTGTTTGTTTTCTCGCAAAAAAAATATGTTTGCTACATAATTTATAGATTATAATGTAAACAACATTAGTACAAAATGATTTCACTACACAAAACAAACTCAGGGGAAATAAAGGCTACTTTGGGGGTGCCCTCACTAAATTCATTCAATTAAACCCATACGAGTAATACAACATTTATATTAAGGTTTGGATAATTGCATTTTTTAATTTCTTTTTTTTACATTATTACAGAAAGCCCTTAGGGCACTTTTAGACTCATCTGAACTTTGAGTTAATGCACTGCTGTACACAGTAGTAACGATCAATCTAAGCATATCAGAAACATTTGAAGAACATGTCACAAAAAGCATTTGTCTTGCAGTTCACTGTGAATCCATTAAGTGGCAGTAAAGAGCTCTATGCACAGAAATAATTTATTTATTAGACTTGCTGCCCTCTAGAGCTTCAATCATGTATGAATAAGAAGTGGGAGAGGTGGCTTTTTCTATTAAAGCCATTAATAATTAAGATTTACAGTACATTTACTACACATAAGTTACTTATTTTAATTAAACTAATGCGCGTGAAAAAATATGCAACTTGCATTATTCCAAATCGAAACTGAGAACAAATTCTGAAGAGTTACTTTTAAGTCACAAAATCATGCTCATGCTTATGTACATAATAATATTTTAAGACCGTCAGATTATGCAGTATTGTATTTAATAACCATGGATGGTTTTTCATTATTATTTCTTATTGCGTTTTCAGATTGGTATTTTATACATTAACCCCTTGATGATTGAGGTGTTTTTCTGACCACTGCTTTTGTCTTTAATTTCTTTGCGGTATGTATTTTGATGTTGGTTAGGTATTCCTTAATATATCATTGTGAGTCTAATTCCATCTATATTGCGTTTCTATATTTGTATATATTGTTTTTAGATGCATAGACTGTTATTTTGATATCATTGTCCTTGCTTTTTTTTTTACTATTTAGGGATACCTTGTACATTTGTCCTGGATAATAAAGTTTATTTGCTCTTAAAGGACCACTATAGTGCCCCCACCCTCAGGGTCCCCCTCCCGCCCGGCTCTGGAAAGGGGAAAGGGGTTAAAACGTTTTTTCCAGCGCTGGGCGGGGAGCTCTCCTCCTCCTCCTCTCCGCCCCGTCGGCTGAATGCGCACGCGCGGCAAGAGCTGCGCGCGCATTCAGCCGGTCACATGGGAAAGCATTCATAATGCTTTCCTATGGACGCTGGCGTGCTCTAACTGAAAATCACAGTGAGAAGCACGCAAGTGCCTCTAGCGGCTGTCAATGAGACAGCCGCTAGAGGAAATAGGGGAAGGCTTAACCCATTCATAAACATAGCAGTTTCTCTGAAACTGCTATGTTTATGAAAAAAATGGGTTAACCCTAGCTGGACCTGGCACCCAGACCACTTCATTAAGCTGAAGTGGTCTGGGTGCCTAGAGTGGTCCTTTAATGGTAGTCTCCTCATTCTGTATTAATTGCATGTTGTTTTGATCAATTGGGAAATAGAACCATTGAGTGATCACTCTGTTTATGTATTTGTTTTTGTAGATATATTTTGATTTAACCTATTGAGTGTGCCTACCTTGGGGCATTCTGACATCTTTCATTTAAGCAATGTATTACTAGTCACTGTTAAATCTTCTGCTTATATTTTTTTATTTTGTTTTTTTACTGCATACATTGCTAACGATCAATAAAAACAAATGAAACATAACAAAATGTGCATACAGTGTTTATTTTATGCAGTTCACTGTGAATCCATAAAGTGGCAGTGAGGAGCTCTAGGCACAGAAATAATGTATTTATTAGTCTTTGCTGCCCTCTAGTGCTACAGGCATGTATGACCACGAAGTGGGGGAGGGGATTTTTTTTCTACTATTGCCATTAATAATAAGATGTTTACAATCTATTTACTACACCTACGTTAGTAAGATTTAAAAAAAAAACACCTAACAATATTTCCATAACCAAATTCCAACACCAAAAAGCTCAAAACAAATTACAAAGATTTTATTTTGTATGTCACAAAAACTATGTTACTTTCATGCTTACATTGATAACTATATTTTGTAGGAAGTCAGATTTTGCACCATTGATGTTTTTTTTCTTACTGCTTTGGTGCGTGGCTTCCTACTCACTGGTCTTAAACTGAAGTTATATAAGAATGATATGTTCTACATAAACCCTAGTAACTCTCTTGTGACCGAGTTTGTTTATTTTTGAGTATCTGCTTGTTACATATCATTGCTTGAAACATATCTGAAAATAGACATACCAGGGTAATTTCCTTGGGCAATTGACAATTTTCCTGGCATTTTTCACGTAAGACTTTTTTTCACCAATGTCAAAATTTCTGGTTATAGTTCCAATGTGGGCAGTGACGCAGAATGCTTCTCATGGCCTGCATCTTGTGTGGGCACCTTGCCAGTATTATATGCCTACACAACATGGGTCATGTTTGTTTTTGGCATCACACGTGACGCATGCAAATCAGAGGTAACAGGGGCCTATATAAAGCACTGGTGGTCACTCTTCATTGCCTTGTCATAGTTTTTTGTAGCCACCCTAGAGTTTTTCTGGTATCTAACTTGGCTTATCTAGTGTTTATCCCGTTTTCTGGTATCCTTGACCATTTGGTCTGTTTCTCTTGTTTATCTTTTTCCAATCCTGACCTATTCTTGTATTCGACTACTCTATGTCCTACGCTTTCCATTCAATATAAATGTCTAAGGCCCGGTCATATGTTTTTTCTTAGTATAGGATTCCACTTTCCCCATTGTTTATGAGTTAGGGTGATTAATCCTGACGTAGGTATAGAAATAAGAAAAATAATAATCAGAGATAATGTGCTTTGATAATACAGTTTAGTAATCAGCAAGCGAAAATCAAATAAAACATTGGTTAATTTTATTACAGAATGTAAATTTAGGTAAAGCGTTGCGCCCCAGACCACCAATAATATTTAGCCATGCCAAAAGCTTAAAAATTACTTTAGTGCCAAGTTTGGCACCAATAATACAAAAATTATTTTTAAAAAATTAGGCATGAACTTAACGGTTTTAAGAAATGTGTCAGATGCAAGACATACCGGTTTCTTCCCAAAAATAAGTGCTTGGAATTTAAGAGCAATCAGACAATGGATGTAGTTGTTGGAGTGTCTTTTTGAGAGAAAATTGTAGGAAACTTAGAGAAGCACTCCAGATGCCTAAAGCACTTTAGCTTGCTGAAGCATTATTTCATTGGGGGCAAATATGCCAAACAGTGATTTTTTTTAAGTTTTATTGTATTTTATTTGGCGGTGGGGCATTTGAGTGTCCTTTTAAAGAAATAATATGTGAAATTAAAATAATATTCTAAAAATACAAAGTTATTAAGCCACATATACTGTAACTCTTTGTTTCATGTTAGGGAACTTAGATTTCAGGCATTGAACAAACTGATATATACTGGAGGGGAGGCAACAGAGACAAGACACTATCTCAAAGAAAAAGTTTCTGGATCCAATGCTTACAAACTTTAACAAAAAAGGATCTTGATGTGGACATAAATTTGTCAAGCTTTTTGAGATTTGTGCCAGTGTGTTTTCTATGTATTTATGTTTTTTTTTCATTGTTTTCAATTTTCATTTTTTTATTGTAACATCTCCTATATTTTTTATTTTCCTTTTTATTTACTTAATTTTTATTTAATATTGAGTTTAATTTTATATTTTTATTAAATTATTTTTTATTTTAGTTATTATATTACAATACATTTTATTAGGTGTAGGGGATCAACATATTGAGTGCAATTTCTACTGTTTTTACCTTAAAGCAGGGGTGCCCAAAGGATAGATCCCCAGATATTTGTTACGCTACTTGGGTGATTTGGATTGGAACTCAACTGCAGCTTGTAAAACTCCTTAATTACAATAGTGAAGAAATGGAGAATCTTTAAAGTATCAATACTGTGGCTTTAAGAAAAGAGAGAGTCACTGGTAACTTGATTCAACCAAAGTCTTAATAAGTGTTAAACTTAAATGAATTGCATTTAGGCAATAATCCAATAAGAAGAAGTGCAAGTAATCAACAACACAAAGTTTATTAATAAGTATTTCCTCAGAGATGCATTAAGTAACATTCTTTAGGTTAATGAGAATAATCTTCAATAGTAACTTTAAGCAAGTAGCTGAGAATATTTGCAAAGCAGGAACAGTTCATAGTTAATAAGCATTATGGGAGTTGTCCTCCATACAATTAGTAGCTTGAAGCACTGATTGTATTTGCAAAGCAAGAAACAGTTCATTGTGAATAAGCATGATGGGAGTTGTCCTCCATATAATTAGTAGCTTGAAGCAGTGAAGATTTAGTAAGCAAGCATTAGTTCATTATTAAATGATATTGTAGACAAATAGCTGAAACATATACTTAAGGTTAATGTGAGTAGTCCTCCAATAGTTCAGAGATATGGTCCACTTGTAAAGTAAGTGAGTTTCTGTTCTCCAGTAATCCTCTATGGCATGAAGTATACTTTTCTTAGCCCGGAAGGCTAGGACGACATCAGAGCTTGTAGAGCCCGCGTGTCCCAGGAGCCGGCGTGCATACTCGGAAGTTGGACCCACATTGCCAGAGCCTGTGGAGAGGTAAGTCTGGCGGACATAGCTCCCAGTATCACCAAGCCCCCTCTCTCTGGCGCGGTCTCCATAAATACCGTCAGAGCTGCGTCAGAG